TTTTAAAGATTTTATTTATTTATTTGACAGAGAGAGATCACAAATAGGCAGAGAGGCAGGCAGAGAGAGAGAGAGAGAGAGGGAAGCAGGCTCCTTGCTGAGCAGAGAGCCCGATGTGGGACTCAATCCCAGGACCCTGAGATCATGACCTGAGCCGAAGGCAGCAGCTTAACCCACTGAACCACCCAGGCGCCCTAATTGGGTATTTTGAAAAATTTATCTTAGCAATGATTTTTATTTTGCATATAGTGATATTAAACTTTTAAGTTATATTTGACATTTGATGTATAGTAATTCTTATATTCAATTAATATTGCAGAATAACCAATGACCACAAATTCAGCAACTTAAAAAGAACTCCATTATTATCATCCTGTTCTATAAACCAGAAATGCAGTACAGTGTGACTGTCTTTTTCCCCTTTGGTGGCTTTGCAGCTTTCTCTTTATATTTGGTTTTGTGAAATTTGAGTATGACCTACCTAGGTGTGGTCTTCTTTGTGTTCATCCAGGAATTCTCTGAGCCTCAGTGTATGGAAGAGGAAAAGCCAACAAAGTGTCGACTCATTCAGAATGTTTACGTCTTTCCATGATCGTATCCCATCCTTTTCTTTCTGAATTTGTCAAATAAATTTGACAATTTGGTTAATTTTAGCACTCTCAAACATTTACTTTTTCTATTTTGTCCAGAGTTTACAATTGCTATACTTAAGAGGTTTTGACCAATAAATACTACCCAGCCATTATCATAACAAGTATTTTCAGCTTCCTCTTTGATATTTAGAATTGTTGGGGTGAAAACAAATTACTTTGCAAAATACTTGAATTTCAAGGCTATCTTTTTTTTGTATTAAATATCCATCTTGGAAAATAACAGATAAAAAATGAATGTTTTCTGTCAGACTGTGACTCTGATAATTTGGTGATTTCCTGTGATATTAGTTGTTTTTGGTTGAATAGAGGGAAGTAAATCACCCACAAAATATTCAGAAAAAAGTACATTCATCTATTTCAAAGTTTATTTTTATTACATAACAAACTCTGTCTATAGGGCAGAATTATCAGTGGATATAGAGTTAGAAAAACAGTTAAATTATTGGTTTGGATCACTGTATTCTAACAGTTCACAAATGCATTTGAATTGAAATTATTTTTATAATATTGATATTAATTAAATGATACTACTGTATATTTTTATAACATATGTTGATATTATTTACGTTTCAACAAAGAATAACATTATCTTTTATAACCAATCTCAAGGGGCACCTCAGTGGCTCTGTTGGTTAAGAGTCTGCTTCCCACTCAGGTCATGATCTTGGGGTCCCGGGGTCAGGAGGATTGACCCCTGGGTCGAGCTCATTGCTCAGTGGAGAGTCTGCTTCTTCCCCTCCCTCTGTCCCCCCTCCTTGTGTTCTCGTGTGCATGCTCTGCTCTTTCTCTCAAATAAATGGGCAAAAACTCTTTAAAAACTAAAACAAAACCAAAAACCTCAAAAAAAAGAGAAAAGTTTTCTTTCCCTAGATATTACTTTGAGTATAGTAGACAGCAATCCATTCTTTTATTTTGTACTCATATTCAGAACATTATCAGTGTTACTGTCTCTAAACATTTTAAATTAACTTATCATCTTCAGAAGGTATTTTCTTGTTTTCTCACCCTTCCTCAACTTTCACTATGTACCTACCATGTACCAATCATAATATCTGCTTAAAATATATGAATGGCTATTTTCACTTGGAAAACTTACAACTCTGTCATGTAGAAAGAAATAATTTTAAATTCCACATCAGTTCAGGATGGAAAAGTGGAATCCTCAAAAATAATCTAAGGGAAAATTTTCAATAAAAATATGTGAATATATCTGCTTAAAAACACATATATACAAATACTACACATAAATACCACATATAAACAAATACCAAAATAACTACAGTAAACAAATACCATAACTCTGAATGTTTGAAGAAGAGTTAAAAAATACTCCAAAATAAAATTAGAAATGCATATAAAATATATTAAAAGTAGTAGAAACAAATTGAAAATTTTATTAGTTGATCTCACTTTTGAGTATTTTAAGTTTCTGATATTATAATATAATTATATCATATGTTATATATTATATTAAAATATAATTATATTATTGAAAATTTTTATGAGGAAGCATATTTTCTTCATGTCTTTAGACCTAATGATTGACTTATTTAATTCCTTACAATTTTTACATTTTGGTTAACTGCGTATAGATGGAGGCAAATGGTTTGGAGATGAAAGTATCAAATTAAGAATTAAAATCATTTTACTAAAATCAATTCTAGAGTATGGATTAGGTTTGCATATATCACAGATAACATGAACCCACACCTATACACAAATAAATGTCTTTCCAAAAATGATTTTACTCTCATGAAAAATAGCATGCAGTAAAATCAAATGCTAATCGTTCAGAAAAAGTATTGTTGATTTTAATAATCAATTTTTAAAAATGAGCTATCATTTTTGTAAAAAAATTATAAGTTTTGTCAATTGAAATAACACTTGAAGCAAAATGAAAATATTTTTAACATTTTCCTAGCACTGATAAATTATCAGAAAAATACTGATTTGAAATAGTATTATTAAAATGATGTTAATAAAATGGTTCTTATTCATACTCAACTTGGAAAAAAAATCTTACCATCTTTTTTGTCCTCACCCCAAAAATATTGGAATCTATAAAAGTATAATAGTTATGTTTCCTTTATTTGATTTCTCCTCATATATTTATGGTTTGTAATGGTTTTAATGACCTGTAGATAGGATTTTTCCAACAGGTAATAATGCCTGTAAAAATTGCCATTTTTATAGATTAAAAATTATTTTTTTTCTGCCAGGAAATAATCAATGCTAGGTCATCATTATTTAAATAAGTAGATGATTATATAGCTAAAGGGAAAAATATGATATATGTGGAAAATTTTACTTTTTTAATAATTGAAGGATATTTTCTTCAACTAATACAGATGCTTTTTATTTGTCACCTCTTTATTGAAAGTACATTAGCCTAAGTTCACTACTGAGTATATACCTAATGGAAGGAATAAATCTTTGAACACCACTGAGAGTACAAATTTGGCTGTGGCCTGTGCAACATCTCAAGGTTAATGGATGGAAAAGTTATAAGTCAATATAAACTTCTGTCCTTGACTTATTCAGAAACATGGGTTTTATAGTAAAAACTGATTATATCTCTATTCTATTTACTGTTACATCTTTGTCAAAGTATTTCACAATTTGGGTAATAAAATTATTTTTCTATATAGATTAGATAATATAAAGTTTATAATTGTCTTTGAATTATGTTACTTATACAGAATCTCATGTATTTCCTTGAGATAAAAGCTCAATAGATGTTATCTCTCCCTTTTTTTTTTTTCTATCAGACTAATGGTCCCAATGTCTCCACTACTAATATTGACACCTAGTGCACATAATTTAAAAATAATGCTTATAATATAGGTATTTTGTGATGGTAAGGACTTTATGTTTTTAGATACACTGATTGTCTTTGACTTTTTAATAATTATTTGTTGGTGGAGGAAATGAAAAACATAGATTGATGTTACATAATGATTTAAATGTAATGACAAAGCTTTATAGGCTGTTATATACTAAATGTTTGTGTGTCCCCAAAATTCCTATGTTGAAAATCTAACCCTCCATGTGATGGTATTTGGAGATAGGGCCTTTGGGAAGTGATTAGGTCATGCATATGGAGTCATGAAGTGGATTAGCCCTTACAAGAGCAAACACAAGAGAGCTTCTTTCTTTTCTCTGCTGTCTACCATCTAATCTTTATAGCCAGGAGGCACCATATACAAACAAGAAAGTGAGCTCTCATCAAACACAAAATCTGTAAGGAGGGTATTAGGAGGTGGAGGATTTGGACGGTGCTTAGGTCATAAGAATGGAACTCTCACGAATGAGATTAGTGTCATTTACTGGTGACCCCAGAGAAATCCCTCATCCCCTCTACCATTTAGGGACACTAGGAGAGAGCAGCTATCTATGCACCAGAAAGCAAGCTCTTACAGGACATTAGATCTGATGGTGCCTTTATCTTTGACTTTCCAACCTTCAAAACTGTGAGAAATAAGTGTTAGTTAAGCCTCCCAGTCTATGGTATTTTTGTTATGGAAGCCAGAATTAAGACAGAAATGCTACCAAAAATTAGTACCAGGAGTGTTCTTTAAGGAGAGATCTCTATTTGGGCTCCATACTAAAGCATGCTTCAGATAGATCACATGTACCAGTGCATTCAGAGAAGGAAGAATTACAGTCACATTTTAGGATTTGGGGCTTCTACCTTATGAAATATCATGGGACAAACTTGGCAGCTTCAGCAAACAGACGTGGCGTCCAAGGACAATACTGATGTGACTATCTTGAAAGAGAATTCTCATTCTCATGCTTTTCAGCTTTCTTCTAACCATTGTCCCGTAGATGCTAAATTTAGCCCATAATACTTAATTAAAATGAACTTTGAATCTATGCTCTAGGATAAAAATAGTTACCCAAGTGACCCTGTGTTGAGCAGCAATGGGAAAGCGGAGGTAATGAGTTTCCCACTTAACCTTGTTCCCCATGAAAAACTCTATTTTCATTTCTGTGTACTCTGACATTCTTCATAAGGTTATTCATAGAGAAAGACTCTGACGCTCCAAAAAAAAAAAATGTTAAAAGCTACTGTTTTAAAACATTGACTAAAACAGTATATGAAAGTACATAGACCAAACAACTTAATAGCTACTGAAATAATCAGAGAACTGCTTTACCCTCATATTTTAAGGTGCCTCCATTGTTATTACACCATTTCAAAGAAAATGTTTTCAAATTTTTCATTCCAAAATTGTAAAATTATTTAAGTTTAGTAGGAGTTTCCATCATAACCAAATACTATGATCATTAAATCGAGCCATCTACAATTGCCATTTTTATAGATTAAAAATTATGTAATGCTGAGTGCTTGCTTCAGCAACACATACACTAAAATTGGAATGATACGAGAAAATTAGCATGGCCTGTAGGCAAGGATGGCATGCAAATTCAGGAAGTGTTCCATATTTTTTTAAAAGAAAAAAAATGATAGAATGTTGATAATCTTATATGACTCCTTCTGCTGTGCTCCACTGTGTTCAAGAACAGAGACGTATGCATGCATGTAAAGGAAACATTTCAAACTGGGATGGTGGGGCACATACACAGATAGATGGCACATAGCACTGTAGCTACGCTTCAGTACAGTTTCTCAAATAGGAGAATGGGAGAAAGAGAGAGACACATTGAGACAGACAGACAGGCCAGTTTGACTTTTACAGAGGTTTAGAAGAAAATAATTTTGGGTAGGATGTAAGACCGGGCTGAAAGTTCCTTGAAGGCTGACAGAGAAAGTAAGCTGGATGTGGAAGGAGAGAGAACTGGTGGAAACTTCTTGACACAGACACAGGTCCTGAACATATATGGATTTTATTTTGTATGTGTGCACATACATACTTTGGAGAATTAAAAGTAAGAGAATTATGTGGATGCGTATAAATTCATAGAGAAGCTGGTTATTCATTATCGCCTTAATTTATAAACTTGTCAGCCACATAAATGAGGCAATTAGCCAGAGACATATCATAGACTTATCTCTGAGATAGAGGTCAGAGGAAATATTTTCTTCAAATTCTTTATCTTTAGGAGCTTGATGCACATTAAAACACCATGTCATTTTTATCTCCTTTTTATGACATTGAGGTTCATCTCTATTAAGTTTCTTTAAATTGAGTATTGTTTTTAAACCAATCATAAAGTGGTAGAAAATATATGCATTGTAAAGTTTATCTGAGGTCAACATTATAAACACAAAGAATTAATGGTTAAAAAGTCTTACTTTTTTAGTCTAAAGAACAAACTTCCCAAAAGAAATTTTGCAAAATTAGAAAAGCACTCTTTGAGCAAGAAGGTATTTTTTCCCCTAACTTTCCAAATTTTAGTAATGCTAACTAAATCAATAATAAGAATATTTTAGGAGAAGAATTGAAGCCTTCTCAAGGCAGTATTGTGCCTTTTTTTTCAAGAAAACAAGAACAATTTTTACAAAACAAAAGCTATCCATTTAAGTTGATCTAAATAAGTTTAAGTCAGATAATGTATGGAAGTTATATGACATTTCTTAGCTTTCATTTGGAACACTGTATATAATTATGAAAAATCAAAGCCATTCCTTTTATAATATGCATTATATATTACAACATTTTTTTCTTTGTTATATTTCAGATTATTCATTTCTCCTGGTTAGCTTTAAATATTAAGTCTTTATGACATTCTTATTATTCATTATCTGGTCCTCCCCCCTCCAGCCCCATTCCATATATTCACATATTGGAATGTAAGATTTCTCTTCAGGTTTACCAGTGATTTAACAGAAAACAAACAAAACTTTTTAAGATGAATTTTTCAGTATGAAAATGATGGGAATAGTGAGCAAATAAAATAAATGTCAATTATATTTGGACTTTTTTGTAACTTGTGTATTATATTTATTTTCCCCCTTTGGTGTGGGATATTCTTATGAATAAGTGCACATATGAATAAATGAACATCACTATATCTATAATAATTGTTAAAAACTACCACAGATACATTCAACAGAAATTCCATGCTATCCCCCCTCACATTAGAAAATCTAACGGTGTTCGTAAAACTTGCTCTTATATCTTGCTTTTGACACTAATGGGAGTTTTCAGTAAAGACTTCAAGTCCAATTGATGCATGAGCCTAGCAGTTCCCCTTAATTGTGTTTGTAAATTCAATAGCTATTATAGAAAGAGACATTCTTGGCTGTACTTCACAAAAATTATTATACCTCCTAGACCATACTTTATTCATTCTTAACTTCTCCGTGTTTTAAAATTGTCTTGTGTTAAGAGTAACTCAGAAATGTATTCTTGACTCTCACAGACTTGGGAAGGCTTTTGTTCTGTCCCATGTTCTTCTGATAGCTCAATACATTTTGTTTAAATCTAACATAATGGTGCTGAGAGTCGACCATAGAAGAATGAAGAAAATTGTTTATAAATAAAATCACAGGAAGAGAAGGAGAACTGAATATTATGTTCTGGAATTTTTTTTAAAAGATCTTATTTATTATTTGACAGAGAGAGAGATCACAAGTAGGCAGAGAGGCAGGCAGAGAGAGGTGAGGAAACAGGCTCCCTGCTGAGCAGAGAGCCTGATGTGGGATTTGATCCTGGGACCCTGAGACTATGACCTGAGCCAAAGGCAAAGGCTTAACCCAATGAGCCACCCAGGCATCCCTGTTCTGGAATATTTTTGAAATGAGTTCTTAGCTGAAACAAATAGGAAAGCATTTAAGTTACTGTTACAAATTTATATCAATGATATTTATTATTGAATATGAAATACTGACCTTTGTCCAATATTGGGAAACATTTTAAGTCTTAGATTTTCTTAAAAGTATTTTCACTGCCCATAAATTTATCACTAGTCAACACTGAAGTATGAATTAAAAAGAAAAGTCTTGGTGTGTTGGAGGAGCTGTAGTCACTTCTTAGAAACACACACTTCCTTTTTTTATTCATTTAAATTCAATTAGCCAACATATAGTACATCATTCATTTTTGACGTAGCATTCAGATTGCGTATAACACCCAGTGCTCATCACATCATGTGCGTACACTTCCTTTTGCTCTTGCCCTCTGGTTGGTGCTGCCTGGTTACCTCTACGAGACTGACATTGCCCTCATGTTGTCCACTCTGTAAACTGACATAGAGGGTAACCTCTTGGTCTCATATGATGAACATTTGGAAATAGCTGGTTATCTTTTATAAGGAAACCAGCTGTGGAAAGGTGGGGGAAATTGATCAACCTCTCAAGACTTTTCCGTTTCCCTAAACATGCCACACTTTGATTTCTTCAACATGACCCAGGGAAATCTGCCAGGCAATTCTCGTCCAGAATTTGAAACCATAAGTGGTACATTCAAGGCCATATTTTCTGGCTTTGTTCTGAAATATTACATGGTTTTCTATGACCTCCCATTTCAAGAGTCATCTAGAAAGCAAATGGGAACACTTGAGAATATTGTCATCTGTTCTCTTGCCCTTCACTTCAGTCTTCACTGTCTCATGGGTGGGATTTACCCATTAAGTCTATCCTTGTTTCTTTCTTTCATATGACTTTTTATCAGTTAGGAGTGCTTTTGGCTATGTTTTTTGTCTGAATACTCTAGAAAACAAAATCTAAGGTAAATATTTATGTGATAATTTTCTGAGGAAGATTCAATTCCAAGGAAGCAAAAGTGAGGAGACAGGGAAGCGAGGCGGAGAGAGGAAATCTGTTAGAGAATTTGTTGTGAAACTAAGTGCAGAATTAATACCAACTAGACACCCATTCTTGACAGATTTCTACAGAGACTCTATGAGTATGTATTCATGGGGAGTGAGAAGAGTGTATTGTACTGCACATAAGGTGAGTTTTGCTGATGTGTGACGCAAGAGATGAAGAGCCATAACAACAACAGCGTCCTTAAAAGTAGCAACAGACTTGGGAAAAATAGCAACCTAGATCCACAACAGAGGATGGGTGTTATCCTTTAAAATCCCACTCTGGCTAGAAAGAAAAGATGCATGAATCTGGACTGATGCATAACTGAATCTTTTTAGTCTGCCATTGGTATAAAGCAGATCTACTTGTATACTCTGAAGATCCTAGGATTTCTGCAGGAAATTAGATGCCCTGATCTTTTCCCTGAGAAGGAAGGAAAGATCAAACTCTTTAATGTAGTGGCTAGTAATTTTCTAAATCAAGTATTAGTAAGCTAGGCAGATGGCTAAATCGAGCCCCAGGACTGTTTTTCTGTGTCTCTGAGCAACAACTTTTACACATTTAAAGATTGTGCAGGAAAGAAAAAAAAAGAAAAGAAAAAAATGTATGATAGAGACCCATAAACTCTAAAATATTTCCAATATATAATGTTTTACAGAAAAAATTCACCAACCCTTGTTCTAAAAACACTGTAAAAAGGGTGGCAACCTAAGCTATGGACCCCATTACTACAACCAGTGTAGATTACGTAACTAATTTTCATCAAATCTTTTTTCCACCTTTAGCTGGTCTGTGTTTCTTGTCTTGTTGGGTGATCCAGACCTTCATCCCTGAGAGTCTGACACTGGTGTTCTCAATGAAGGAACCACTTTCTCGAGAAGGGAAGTTCTTTGCCCATTGTCCTCCATGCTTGTATATGAATGGGAATTGGATGGTCAACCAGGAGAGAATCCTGTTCAGTTTTCATTGCTTTTTGGGGTAGATCTGGGAGCTTAGGGTCATTTTAGGGAGTAGATACACATATATGTTTACTGTTCAGAATGAAATTTTTGATCAGCATTGTTTTCTCACTTATTAAACTCCCAAATATTTACATCTGGTCAATTTTAAAAGCTTATAGGCTTAAAGCCAAATGTCTAGAAAAAGTCTACAAGATTGATTTTTTCTTTCTTTTTTTTCTTTTTGTCTTTTAGCCACTGGCTTCTGGGTTCTTTTACTCCTTTAGCCATTTGGTTAATAGCCTCTGCCCTGGACAATTCAAACAATTGTCTTCGATGGGGAAAAAAGCAACATTAATATAATTTTAATTTGCCAGTTTCCTTACCCCCTTTATGTAGAAGAGGATAATTAACAAGTAACATGGAAGTAAATTAGGAATACTTATTAATTATATAATTATAGTAAGTAAATTAGGAATATATATTATATATATATAGACTACATATATATATAGTAAATTAGGAATATATATTTATATATAAATTTCCCTCTTGAATTAACCAGAGTTTGGGATATAGAAAGTGGCTCTTACTTGCTTTTCTCCATAACATCAAATTCCCTATATTTGGGTCTTTCCCTTGAGGATTCTATTAGGAAAGTTTTAGTTGTACCTGGTAGAAATTCATGTGAAGGTGACCTAAACAAGTAAAGGTTGTCTTTTCTCACTTAATTATTCTGTAGGTTGGTCGTAAGTAATGTTTTACTCCAACTTTCTGGTCTGGCTTATTATAAATATT